TGATGTTAGGTTTTAATTCTAATAAAATATCACATCTAACTCTTCCTATAGGAGCTAGTTCTTGGGAGGAAACCCCGCCTGTTCAGTAAAATCCTGTGTGCCCTGTCAAGATGAAGCATCTTATTTCAAGTGCATTGGTTTATATAAAAAACCTTCTAGTTGGGTGCCATAAACCAGTTTGGAGTTGTACCTGCTGCTTCCTTAAACAGTGTGCATTGCATCCCAGATGAGGAGATCGTAAACTGAGTTAGTGGAAAAAAAATGTCATTTTGATTCACAAGCCCCCCAAAAACAGATAAACCCCCCCCAACCTGCACCCTGGGTGTAGTATCGCAGGAGGCCCCAGGGGGGTTGTGGGGTGCTGTGCTGCTTTTATTCAAATTCAGCCTCTCTTCCTAAGATGCTGGAGTAGGAAATAGCTGTGCTTTTAATGCAGTCATTTGCACTAAATTGCCAGCATCTGGACAAATAGTTTGACCTTGCATTTAACCGTGAGACTGAGATCCCTTTGCTGCCCACGGCCTCTCTGTAGTAGTCCTTAATCTTGGGTGAGAACAGGGGAATAGGGAAATCTAACACAAGGGGAGAAGTAATAATTGGTCTTAGCTCACTTTGGAAGATTCCTAATTAAATAATAAAATACAAACAGCCCTACATGGCGAGGGGGCAGGAGAGGCAAAGCAGCCCCCGGGCTCGGCGAGCAGTAGCTGTGGGAAGGTGGTGGAGGGGAGCTGGTGTTTGGTCAGGTCCCTTGGGGAGGAGGATTTGATGTCAGGGAGTGTGGCTATCCCTGTCCTCTTTCTGGGCACGCCGGCCGGCCGTGCTGCGACGGGGGGTCCAGCCACTTTGCTGCGGAGAAGGGGGAGAATGGGAGCGGGCGCTGAGGCTGTCCTCAGCAGCAGTGGTGGAATTCCTGCCTCTAAAGGGACAAGGGTTGTGCATCCACACCTGAAACCTCTCTGAGGCAAGAACCACACCTGGAGCTTGTTGCGAGCCTGGGGCGATTGGTGACTGATCACAAAGCCGGGGAGCGTTTCAGTTCAGAAGCTTTGGAAGTTGAATCAGGGGCTCGATCTCCCGTGTAGCCGAGAGAGCTTCCCATGAGGGGACGTGAAGGAGCGCAGCGGTTACGCACTTGTCGTGTCAGAGCCCTGCTGAGCATCTCTTAAAGCTTTTCCAAAGGATGAAACCTGTCTTGAGACTTCCAGAACGCTGGGTGCGTTGGCAGTGACGGTAACGGGAGCTGGCGGTGTGCAGGGCAGTGCGGGTCCGGGTGGGATGGAAGGGAGGGAAGTGCAGAATCTGGAGCAGGCAGGAACTCGTCTTTCGCTTCATCTGCTTCTCCGAGTGCTGGTGTTGAGGTGGAGTGATGGATGGGAAATGCCAGACGTGGCTGACGATCCAGTGTGTGTTCCTGGCAAAGGCAGGAGATGGCCTTCATTATTTTAAAAAAAAAAAAAGGCAATAAAATAAATGGCATAATAACATCTGTTTCCTAGGGCTGTTTTTAGGCAGCTACTGCACTTAAAGTAACAAAAGGTAGGCTGGGTGGAAACCACAGAGAGTTGGAAAAAGAAAGAACGAAGTGAACGTTAGGAGGTTCTGAGCAAAGGGGCAGCAAAGAACAACCAAGGGGTGAAACCCTTCCCTTCAGAGGAGAACAAGTTGCATCCCCGAGAATAAACGTAACCACAGTCTCACTGCAGGGTTATTTGTTAGCGAACTGCCAGGGCTGTGGGCAACAACACCTTTTATCAAAGAAAAATGCCCAGAGTGCTTTCCCGTGGGATGCAGGCAGGTTTGGTACAGCCCTGCTGGTTAGGGCTTCATCCGAATTCTGCGGTGAGCATCTCAGCTTGTTTTCATATATCTTTTGGGGTATTTTTTTTTTTTTTTTCCTTTTTTTCCCAGTTTAGTGGTTTGTATGTCAGATCAAGATCTGGATCAGCGAAGTTGGAAGCTGCTCACGTAACTCTGCAGCAGCAGCCCCGTTCCTGTTCTTCTGCAGCTGCCTTGGGGAAAGAAGCCTGAACTGCCACCCTGCGCCTGGAGCGGTGGCTTCGACGGAGTGATAGTCATGGAAAACAGATGATTAATAATAGAGGCAGAAAGGATGTCATATGATGTGAAGACCATGTATTTTACACCCACGTTGAACCCATTTTTTTTGGAAGTTTGGTGGGATTTGCTGACTGATTTTTAACTTGTAAGATTTTCACAGTAAGCTTTATGAAAGGCTAGAATAGTGTTACATTTGTGCCAGCCTGCCAGAAGAGCCTGTAGAGGAAGGCACGTAACTATAGATGGGCAGACACGAGAGGGGAGGGAAAAAAAAAAAAACAAAAGGCAGAAATAGTGGATAAGCTCTTAAACAATGGAATCAATTCAGTAGGAGCGGTGTAGATGCCAGATGAGTCTAGCTTTTGTAAAGATAGGTCCTGCCAAGGCTTCATTCCTTGGTGAGCTTCCAAAGCGTAGCTCTGCCGAGACTTTTGTAAAATGCTTGGCTTAACATTGATATTCTGCTCTGATACAGCTTTTAGAAGTAATGTACCCCGGGAGCTAAAGGTCGGGTACGTGGCAGCGCTCTCCTCGCAGCCCCAGAGCTTCCTGAGCACGGGAGTGCTTCGGCGCGTTCAGTGCTGTTCAACACGCTGTTAGGGAGCTGGAAAGAAGCACAAAATGACTGCTGATAATTCCCTAGTTGCAGTGATAGGAGGGATGAGGACGGACACTGATGGGAGGGGGACAGGTATATGGTTCCTACTGCTAGATGTGGCTGGGCCTGTATAAAACACACTTGCGTGCAGTACTTGCATAGGGCTTGCCTGCAGAAACCGCATCCAGGAGCAAAAATGAGAAGAGGGGAAGGGCGGACCCTGGGGAGCAGTGCCTATGGGAAGAATTTTGGGCTTGCTGCAGGAAATCCCACTGAATTGTGGGTTCCAGGGAGACCCCGTGGCTTTCTGGAGAAGAGGACTGGCCTCGCGGAGCCGGTGGGAGCAGGGTTGCTGCCAGTTGTGCTGCTGGTGTTTGCAGCAGTTGCTCCCCGGCTGGGGAGGGTGCCCAGGAAAGCCGGGGGAGCGGCAGGGAGCCATGAGCCCAGAGCTGGTGTCGGCGAGGTAAGGCGAGGGAGAGGCCATCTGCCGTGTGCTGATGTGTTAAGGAGAAGCTGGTATTCAGCGATGGGGATTAAGGCCTGGAGTTTCAGCCTAGGTGCACCGTGTCTGAAGACAGGCAGGAATTCTCGGCGAGGATCAAAGCGAGGTGCTCCCGTTACCGACCCCTCTGTCGTATCGCGGTTGGCTGTCTCTCCAAAAGAGCTTTGTTAGCCAGGGGAGTCGCTGGGTCAGTGTGAGAGTGCCCAAGCGAAAGGGAGTTTCGCCACGGAAGAGCCAAACCACGGCGAGTGGGTGGTCCCTGGCACGCCTGAGGCTCAGCTGCTGCTTCCAGCGCCGCTGGTTTTCGCTCGAGCATCAGGCTGAGCCATCTGCTAACGCCGTCAGATGAGCGTTGGGCTGGGGTTTAGAAAATTCCTTCCCCCTCACCATTTTCACTAGTATTTATGAACTGATGACGCTGGCAAAAACTCAGGAAGCGTAAGATTGAGCAGAGACCCTGCAGAGGCTATTTCCTGACCCTTCGGTGTGGAACACCGTGGCTTTGAAGGAGGTCGGCTGGCCTGAGGGCTGCGAGCCCGCAGAGATCTCTGCTGGCGGGGGACGACCGAGCCCCCCTGCTCAGGCTCGTGCCCGAGCCCTGGGGCACCCCAGTACAACCACCGAGCTCCCACCGAAGGCTGAGTACTCCTCTAGTCCCCCCCTCACTGTGCTGTTTCTCCTGTGGTTCGCCGTGCCTGGCCAGTGTTCCTCCAGGGGTCTCCTGCCCCTTGGCTGGTACGTGAGGAGGCCAGACCTGCGAAGGACACGGGTTTTCGCTTGTACTCGACGGCAGTAATTCAGCTGAGCTGTTTCGCTGCTCTCAGGCAGAGCTCGGAGCGCGTGTGCCCTGCCCAGATCATCGGAGGGGCTGTGCTCGTCCTCGCCTTCCTTTCCCTTTTCCTCCCAGGGATTATTTCACCGCTTTTGATGCGCTTTGTGTGAGTGTTCATAGCACAATTTACTACAGGCAAACAGCTGTATCTCCTGCTCAGGGATGTCAGTCAATCAGCCGCGAATTTAGGTTTTTAGTCAGTTTGGTGGGTTTGGTTCCGGCCTTTGTGACAGGGTGTTGGGAGGTGAAAACTTCTTGCTTAATTTCTCCGCAGGGCTTGTGCTCGATATCAATGTGCTTTGTGAGCAAGGACACCTATTTAGTAGAGGGTGGGACCAGCCTGACCCTGCAGAAGGGCCGAACGTCACCTGCCTTGCCGTGTCCACCCGATTGTGCTTCTGTCTGCAGCAGGAAGGGTTTAAAAAACCAAACAAGCCCCCACCAGCGCCGGTGCAAAGATGGAACTTGTGTCTCCATTCTCCTGGCTGGGATCCAAGAGCTCCACTCTTTTCAGGGGAAATCACATAGTCGGTTTCCATTCCTTATCCCACAGCCCTCATTTCAGTATGATGTGGGGATTTGTTTTTTTTTTTTTTTTTTTTTTTTGAAAAAAAAACCCACAACACAGCTTTAAATATCTCTGCAGTCAGTCGTTAGCTCCCAGCAAATCTGCTCTGAGTTTCAGATGAGCAACGCTGAGTATCTAGAGCTTTAAAAACATGGGGATCGTTTTGGTGTTTGGCAAAGAAGTATGGGAGAGCCTGAACTTGGGGGATTTTTTGTTTGCTTTTTTTTCCCCTCGACTGGAGCATGGGTATGTGGACTAGTTTCACTGTTGCTTATTACGGCAGCTTCAACTTGTATTCTTCTTGGGAATAGAAGTTGGATCTGGGATCTTTCTGCCTCTGCATGTGTGATGGTCAGGTGAGGGGCCGTGATTGTCTCCCAGCAGAAAATGAACCCTGACCAAACAGATTCAAACATTAACCTTGTGTTTTTGTTTTCAGTGGGACTTCTCCTCTTGCATGCCTGAATGCTATGTTACATACAAACTCCCGAGGGGAAGAGGGCATTTTCTATAAGGTCCCGGGGCGCATGGGAGTGTACACTCTGAAGGTAAGTGGCTCGTCTGGGGAATCCTGTTTGAATGCTCAGGTGACTTTTATCCATTTAAAAATACATTGGATTGGGATAGTCCCAAAGAGGGAGCTATCTCTCAGTAGCATGAACGGTAGCGGAAACTTGCCCTTCAGATGCAGCACTAAGTCGTTGTGCTCTTGCTAGTGAGCACCTGGGTACGGGAAGCACGGCGGAAGGTGCTGGTTTTTACTCACAGTGGTGTCGTTTGCTGATACAAATTACTACCTCAGAAATGAAAGTAATTGAACTTTCAATGAAATTTTAGCCCTAAAAGGGGAACTTCATCTTCACTGTTCTCAGTGTGTATCTAGAAATGAAAAAATTGCCTTTGCCTACTAGTTACAGACTGAGACTGAGAGAATTTATAGGGACAAAGTGTGGATTCCTTGATGTATCTGATTGGCATCCTTAAAAATACTTTATTGGAAACCTATTACCCCAGTTAAATTACTAGAAGGCAGCCTGCTCACACTGTTCTTGTTTTTCTGTAAATTTGACTCTGAAGACTATGCTGCAGGGTAGGATTCCTCTCCCTACACATAGCCCTCTTCAGTGGAGGTGTCTCCTCTAGAACTGCTTTCCTCGTCGCACTCCACGCTTGATAGAGAGAAATAATAATTTCTAAAATGAGATTCATCTCAGATACTGTAAATGTATGAGAATCTGTGCTTTCAAGTGCCAGCTAGATTACCAATGGAATCAACTAAGAATTGCTGTGAAAAAGATGTCCTCACTGTCGTCATCAAAACGTAGCTAGGTTGAATCCCATTCTCACCATCTCCTCCCTCTGCCCTGTAAACTGGAAAATCACATTATCCCGTGAGTACCTGTGTATAGCACGACAGCAGAGGATGTCCCTTTGGGAGCCGTGCGTTGGTGCTGGCATGCCATCAGGGTAAATCATCTTCAGAGCTTCCAAAAATGCCGCTGCAAGAGATCCGGCAAACTTCTTACTCTGGTCCTCGACGTGCCAAGCAGAGGAGGCTGACCTGATTTCAGTGCATTTAAGTGAAAGGACATAAACCACCCTTTTATAACACGTGTGTTCAAGGTAAGGACTCCCAGAGATACACCCAACAATGACGGGGTAGTTTTCTGTTTGCTGACTAACTGGACTGAGCCTTGCCCAGTTTGCTTCGCTACAGAAAAGTGTAAAGTTTTACCTTCTAGGAGTGAGATTGGGAAAATAGTGTTTTTTCAGAAGATTATGACTTGGGAAAAGATTTAGATCTGGTACTGGACAACTGATTGGCTATTTGGCTGAGCATTTTGTGTTGTGATGTGGCAAAGCTGTGCTGAGAATTTTCAGAGGGGAACATAAACCAATACGAAAAAAAGGTGCCTCTTGAAAGTTTGTGAGGGCATTGTTCGTGGGGTAGGTCATAGGCAGACTCAGTGTCTAGAGGTTAAATCTAAGCAAAATCAAGTTTAAGTATGCATTTGAGCAACAAAACAGGCTGTCGGAGTGACTGCTGTAGTTCAGTTTGTTTTCCTCGTGAAACCTGCAAGTGAAAGTTGATTATCTTTCTTAATGTTAAACTTCAGCAAAACTCCAATATTACTTAACTCAATGTAGGAGTACGTTGGTTAAATGTAATGATTTGTATTAATTAGGAGGCTAGACAAGCAGCTGAGTTATTCCAAAGGCATACTGTGTCCTGTGTATCTGAAGACGTGGTGGTTTTGTTTCCTTGCTTTGGGCTGGGTAGCCTGGAGGTGGTAACTTCCACGGAGCGTGGAGAAACCCAGTATTGCAGGAGAGGGGGAGAGGTTCAGCCCTGCTGCACCAGTCCCAGTCCCCTTTGCCGTGCTTGGTCCCAGCACGGTTGCCAGGAGGAGCCTGGAAGCTGTGATGGTGCATGGAATGAGAAATCCTTTGGAGGGGCCATGATGGACAAAACACAACAGCTTAGGCAGCAACTGGGAAGGGAAAGCTTTGAAGAAGGGGGCTGACCATTCCCTGAGCGATGCGTTGCTGCGCTGCAGTGGAGTGAAGGAGAGCCACATGTCCAGTAAATCACACTTCCTGAAAGAGAAAGCTTATGGTAAAATACTTGGTGAGTGAAGCAAAGTTGCACTTGCATTTTTGCTGGCTCACAGAACTGGATTATGGTATCGCTGAACTGAGTAGTAAGGAGACTGGTAGGCTGCTGAGAACTTCCTTTAATTCTTTTTCCTTAGACTTGGTGATAAAGATATGTAAAACAGATCGGAGAATTATAACCAAGGAGTGTGTCAGTTCTGTGAAATAATGTTCAAAGGGTTGGGTGCCTCTGGAGGGGTTTGCTTAGTGTTGGTGGCCAGGAGATGCTCCGGAGGAGAATTCCTCATGGCAGCTAGCAATTGAACTGAATTTCACATTCATTTTTATTAATGCAATTTCATTGTTCCTCTCTTTTGTCCCTTTGTTTCCAAGTACCTAATAATTTCCTTTCCCCAAACCTTGTCTAATTACAGTAGTCAGAAGTAATCTGCGGTGCACCGAGCGCTCCGTGCCTCGGTGATGAGTCTGTTCGCAGCGGTGAGCAGCTCCTCCCCCAGAGCAGAGAGCACCCAAGGCACAGTTTACAGTTCTCAAAGTTTTAAGGACTGGTGAGGTCAGGTCCCGAGCTGATGGACAGATTTCTCTTCTGCTAGGTGCAGTGTAATTTTGGCAGCAGCAAGAAGGGTGGACGTGAGGGGTGCGTTACAAATTCAGACATACTCGTGCTTGACAGTAATGATACAAACAGCAAACTGAACCCCAAAATTACTGTTTTGGTGCTTTAGAGATAGTAGCCAAGCTTTGCATGGGAAGGGGGAAGCAAAGGGTAACATTTAATCTCATTCATGCTGCTGAAGGGATGTGTAACACCCCACCTCAGCCAGCGGTGCTCTGCTGGGGCAACTCTAAATCTGACGGCGAGCGGTGTTTGCCCCGGTGCGGATGTGTTGGGCGCATTTTGTACAGCCTGGACGGTTTGCTTAGACCCCTGGGGAAAATTAAATCCGAACAGTCCTAAATACTACAGAACAAAACAAATTACCATGACCTTTAAATGCTTGCAGCAGAAATGCTGGATTTCTGGTAACTTCTGGTATTTGAGTTTCTGGTAATTGGCATTGTTCGTGGTTTGCGAAGGCTGCATGTGCGGGGTGAGCTTTGGGGACCTGATTTTGCTTCAGGCTGTCCAGGTACCTGCCAAGGTCTGGTCGTGCCTGGAAGGATTCACATTTTACAAGAACACTTGACATACTGAGCGTCAACAGATAAAAAGAGAAACTGGACGTTATTTTGTTAAATAATAAGTAAAGTTGTGTGCCGAAGGCAGGGATTTCTGGTAGAGCGAGTGGCAAAGATGATCTTAAGGAAAAGATGAGAGGTGTTTCGTCTGTGATGGACAGTGAAGTGTTCCCAGAGAGGGGGAGAACTGGCAGTTGGACAGCACTGCCATTCCTGGCAAACGCAGACAAGGGCAAATGGGCAGAGTGGGCGGGGGCAGTGGGGTGTGAGGGGGTGAGGATAGGGCAGCGCTCGGTCGGTCACGGGTCCGACCGGCCGCTGGTTACCACCACTGGCCCCTTTCTGTCCATCCCCCTCCTCGGATCTTCCCCCACACCCCTCCCAAACCTCTCCTGTAGCAGTCTTGCATCGCCCCACAGCCCCCTCCCCCTGCCAATATCCCAAATCCCCATTTCCCCCCATTTCCCCTTCGTATCACTTCAGACGTTCACCTTGGCCCTCTCTGGAGCTGTGCGGTGGAGGGTCCAGCTTAGTGACGGAGCCTCTTGGCCTTTGGCGTGGTCTCTGGTTCCCCCCGCTCACCTGGGTTGTGCCTCCATATATTTTTATTTACTGCCTCCCCCTGTACTTTGCATTGAAAACACTGATGACTGGATAATACCAGTGAAGCTGACACTCTCATCTTCCACGTACACTTGTAGGATTTAGACTGCAAGTTGATGCGCTGGTGCTGAGAAACTGGAGTCATTTTGGCAGGAGTTTGAGAAGGAAAAAAGAATAAAAAAAAAAAAGTAAAATAGAAAAATCTGAACCAAGCCATTACGCGAGGCACAGACACGTGGCGTGTGCTTGTCTTGGGCTTTCTTCTCCCCCCGAACGGCTTTGTTTCTCGCACGGGCTCCTCCGCATCACTGCCACCCCGGTGGGCAGCTTACCCCATCGGGGGTGGTTTTGCCCGAGGGGGGCTCGCCGAGCGGCGGCAGCTGCTCCCCGGCCCCCTCCTTCAGCCGCGCTTGCTCTGGGCGCAGCCCGGGAGCTCCCCGGCGCCTGGCACGGCGGCCGCCGGCCCCGCCTTGGCCCCGGCTCTGCCCCCCCCCAGCGACCTCCCGCCCTGCCGAGTCGGGGTGAGGCGCGGTACTTGGAAGCCCCGTACGTTGGCTTGTTGACCCCCACGTAGCCCTCTCGCCCCGGTGATTTCCAGGGGGTGCTTCGGCTTGCCCATCCTCCTGCTTGTTGGTCCCAAATTCTTTGCTAATGTTGAACGCAGAATAGCGTCTGTTCCTGCTTGGGTGATCGTGTTGTAGCTCTGCCCTTGGGCATTTACCTTGGGATTTTTCCCCGCTGTGCAGCGGATTTGCTGCTCACCGGCAGCCTGGAAGGTTCCAGACTGAAGGAACATCTTTGACGTGATATTTGGAGAAGCCTGGCTCGTTAAACTTTTACCACAGATAATAAAACCAGCGAACGCCATCTTACCAAGTGCATTTATAGGACCGATAACTAAAAGACCGGATTTTATTTGGTTATTGAGCATGGTTCACTAAAAGGAGTAAGTTTACTTATTGAAAGAAGAGCAGGTTTAATGTGGAGAAAGTGGTTCTGCAGTTGAGGCTGCGCTTCTGCTGGGAAAACAGAACTTGCCATAGGGTGAGCTGCAGCGGCACGGAGGAGTTGGTGTTAATGACGACCTTACAGCAGTTCCTTGCACGGCAATTTCAAGAGAAGGCCGGATCCACGGGGAGGACTGGACACGGCCTCAGAAGGTACCGGGGAAAACCTGTCACTGGCCAGCAGAGATCCAGCTGGACGGGGACCCGGTGGCGTTGTCCGGGCTGGGGGAGCCGAGGGGGCTGCTGCCTGCGGAAGCGAGGGGGGGTCGGAAGCACGGGGGGTGGGAAGGGGCCTCTGGAGATCGTCTGGTCCAACCCCCTGTGCAGTGCAGGGGCAGCTGGAGCAGGCAGCTCGGGGCCGCGTCCAGGCCGGTGCGGATCTCCTACAAGGACGAAGGCCTTCAGCCTCTCGGGGAACCTGGTCCAGCGTTCCGTCGTTCTTGTGGTCAAGACGTTTTCCCGGACGTGGGAGTGGGGTTCGGGCGTTTCCGTCTGTGCCTGTCGCCTCTCGCCCGTTCTCTGGGCACCGCCGAGGAGGGTCTGGCTCTGTCACCCTTCCCCGCACCCCCCAGAAATGCCAGGGCGGGGAAAGCCGCCGTCTGGGCTTTCCAGCTGCTCGTGGGTCCCCCCACGCCTGGCGGGGGGTGGAGGCTCCCCACGCCGAGGCTTCAGAAGACGTTGAGGGACACATCGTGAAAAAACTGGGATAAGTGAATGTGTAATTACTACGTCTCAGGTGACTAAATTATCCCTCCAAAGCTTAAGCTACAAAGGAGATTTAATGAAGGGAGTGTCAGCATTAGGAGTACGCAAGCTTAATTTTTGCCATTTTTGGTGACGCTTGATATAAAGACTTTTTTCCCTGCTTTTGGTGATCTCTTCCACTGTGCTTCACAAGCAGCTTTTAATGGGCAGTTGCAAGAACTTTATGTCTGAAGTGCAGGAGGAAAATACAATTGAATATCTGAACCTATTAGTTCGCCTTGCTGATGGAAGAAATCTGGAATGAATTACATTGATAACATTTGTGTTGTCTTAAGTGCTTTTCGCCTTTACGTGTGGAAATTGCTCATAGCTCTAGTTTCAGAGAAAGGACGAGAAATCGATATTGTCTCCAGTTAAAGGCAGAGGTGTTTTGATTTGCTTTTTCCAGTGGGTATTAACAGAAGGATTTTTTCCTGTCTGGTGCACCCAGATCTCTTCATTTGTCCAGCTCTTACCACCGCTGTCCCGTTTGCCTTGTCCAGGAGATATCTGAAGTGACATTAAGGGCCAGAGCTGAAGGCCTCATCAGCAGAAAGCAGTCTGTTGCCGCTAATTGGCTCTCATCTGCAGTGTAGGTTAAAATCGGAACCCGGCGGGATAATCACTAGAGGGCAGTCTGGGTTTAGGTGTGGGCAGGGTGAAACCGCTGCCGGTTTTCTGCGGGCTGTACCCGGCGGAGGGGAATGCCCCGACCCCCCCCCCCCGCTGCGGGGTCGCCCCACGGCAACACCCCCCAGCTCCGCTCTCTCCGGGGCCAGCGAGCCCCGCGCTGCTCTGCGCCTCGTCAGAGAAATAACGTGGCCGGCGACACCGAGCGCCGAACTGGTTTTCTTCCGCCCTGAAGTTCAGCAATGGACCGGATTTCTCACCCCGTGGGAGCGCGTTGGTTAGGGGTGGAAGAAGCGGAGGACGAGCAGAGCGGCGAGGCGGGGGCGCGGGCGATGTAGATGCCGTGCCAGCTGGGCTCGTGCCGGGCACTTCGCTCGCAGGAGGCAGCACGAGAGCCAGAGGCCAAGCGGTTCTGACACTGCTCTACAGCATAAAAAAAAAAAAAAATTGACAGCCAGTGTTTGAGAAATAAACCCGTTGCTTTGTAAGAATGTTGTTAATTGGGCTTGTTTATTGTGGAGGGGGGGGTAACTGTCTCTGTTTCTTCCATTTGCAGAAGGACGTTCCGGACGGGTTGAAGGAGCTCTCCGATGGCTCGGAGGAGAGCAGCGATGCCCAGTCCGACTCTCAGAGCTCCGAGAACAGCACCAGCAGCAGCAGCAGCAGCGACGGGTGCGGTAACAAAGATGGGAAGAAAAGCAGATGGAAAAGGAAAGGTAATTTTCCCTTTCAGGAGCGGTGATTTTAACACGTATCTGCGAAGGACTTGGGGGGGGTTTTTTATCCATCACATCTGCTGCCTCAAAGACAGGCTGTTACAGCTAACAGCCTAAAATCTGCCGTTACCGTTGGTGCTGGTGACTGACGCAGGTGCTGACTTACTGCTGTGCTACCTGTAGTTGTTAACTGCACTGAAGTGCAGTTAAGGCCTTGACGCAAGTCCCAGGGCAGCACGCTGGGCCTCCCGCCCAGGAACAGTGAATCTGTTTCTGCCACTTTTTCCTCTGCCGTCCGCCTGCTTTCCCAAGAAGATTGCACCTTTTACTTTGGGCCTTCTTTGATGCTTTTGGATGCAGCACTAACTAGGAGCGAGCACAGTCTCTGAGGTTAAAGCCTGCTGTGTGAGCTGATGGGTCTCACAGGGCTTGGGCTTGAGCCACTGCGCTCTTCTGCCCTGCTTTGGGCTCCTTTCCCTCATCAGCCTCAAGTGAATATTAAACCATTTACAACCTTAGCTAATACAATAAAGTGCTGGGTTTTGCTCCACTGCTGTATCCAGGCGGTTGCCGAATTTGGATGGTTCAGCAATGTTTCTAGGATATCTAGATTCTGGATTTTCTACAGGAGTAGTGCAAGAGTACCAAGCAGAGGAAGTAATGGATTTTACTCTGTTTTGAATCCTGATGTTTTTGCCACTCCGAGGAGGCCATGTATCTCGTCAGGTACTGCCATACCATGCTCTTTCAGGAAACAGCAGAAATCAGCATCTGTCAGCCAAAGCACTGTAGTAGTTACATCCTATATTAGTAATAAATAGAAGTTCCCATCTTGCTCACCTCTGGTTTCAGCACCCATTCATTTGACCAGTGTTCTCTGAATTCTTTCCTCCTTCAAAATTCTGCTCAGATATCTGCTTAGATGCTATGAGCTGAATTAATAATAATTAAAAAAAAAAAAAAAAAGCTGTAATCAAGCGTGAGGATGCAACATACGTTGTTCTCTGAGTCAGGGAGAGTCTGTTCAGGGTAGCGTTGTTATTCTCTCTGTTACAAATAAGCATGCTTCGTAACTCACAGCTTTGTGAAGAAGCGTGAAGCCCTCCCTTCGGGCAGGGGTAGCAGCTCTGCATCTTCCCGGAGAGCTGCTGGGGCAGCTGCTGAGCCTGTAACTTTACCCCTCAGTCCCATCTTTTCCTTTTTCCTTTTCTCCTCAGTCACGCACAGAACTTCTTGGCTGAAATGAAACATCATTTAAAACTTGTTTCCAATGCCGTGGGATACGGGCGTGGAAGCAGGGGAGAGGTTAAGGCCTTGCAGCAACGGGCGGGGGCTGCCGAAACCCTTCCAGCGTGGGGAGGCCGCGGAGGAGAAGGGGCTCTGTACGGGTGTGCGAGGCTCACACGGACCAGACCCTGCCTGGAGCTGGCCCTGCAGTCAGGGAGCAAACAACAAAACCAGAAGCGTTATGTAGAATTTTAAGCATTTAAAGCACCGTGAACGTACAAAATGTGGGGGAAAAAAAAAAAAAATTGGAAGTAAGACTTGACTCCTAGTTCATCCTTTGAAAGGAAAACTATAGATTGGCTAAAATATTTTCATTTCTAACAAATTCTTTCAAAATATTTGGTAAGGGGGTTTTTTTGGCTCCTTTGCCTACATCTCCACTGTTACGATATTACATAAAAACCTGCAAGGGAATGTATATATCTTTTAGAGAGCTCTTTATGTAGACCTGCATGTATACATTTTATATAAAAGCTTTATATCCTCTGTTACTGAATGGCTGAAAAAGCAGGAGGATGTGTGGTTTAGGAACCCAGGCAGGAAGGACGGGAAATCCTACCCTGAAATGTCTGGCAAAAGGTACCCAAAACTCAAAAGCAGATAATGTGATGATAGTGGTTTCAGGATAAATACAAAAAAGGAATTTTGCTCCTTTTGGGTGTCTGGTACTGATGGTGTTTCTTAGGAGTGGCATTTTGACCTTCAGCATAAAGGTCCTATTTTCATAGGTTTTAACGCACTGAAAGTCGTGACCTTCCAGTGACTAGCACGTTAGAGGCGATCAGGAAATTAGGAAAGTAATTCCGGTCAGTACTGTTACCGAGTGCTTTCGTTCTGCTCGGCTACCCTCCCACGAGGATTGCGTTCCTTCGCGTGAGCAATGACTGAGCGTCCCACTCAGTGCCGCACCGAGGCATTCCAGGTTGGGTGGGGACGTGGCTTTCTCCCGCAGCTTCCCTTTAAGAAACTGGTGAGAACCCACGGGCTGGTTTGCTCAAGCAGGGCTGGCCTTTCTGGGCAGTGGCTCTGGGGGACTGCGGGTGCGTGGGGCTGCCTCTGGACTTAGGGGCTGAGCGGAGCCTTCAGCTGCCTGGGCTTCCCCTGTGCCGGCAGGGCACGACAGGAGTGACAACCCAGGCGCGTCCTTTCTGCCTTGCCCACTCAGCTCAAATCCTGCCCGGCCAAATCCCGCATCTGTAGGGGAACCGGGGAGGGCAGCCGCCCGCTGCGGGCTCTGTAGTGAACCCAAGCCGAGCTGCGCCTCGCCGCGCTGATTTTTTACCTCCCTGCTTCGTTTCTCACAGCTACAGGAGAGCGGGTAGCTGTGGTGGGTCTTCACGAGGCAGCCAGAGCCCAGCACACACGTACGGCCCCACCTTGGTTTACCTTCCCAGGCTCTAAACTCCTCTCCCCTGTAGCTTCCACCTGTGCTGCTGCTGGCAGAGGTGAGCTGGTAGTGAGTTACGGGGCGGGTTTTTAGCAGCCTGGTGGTTGGCGAGCAGGGGATGGGGCTGCTCATCTTGCTGCCTGCTGGAGTGCCGCGCTTCAGCTGCCGGGGTGAGGCATAAAGAGAAATAATTCACCGTGGGGACACGCGGAGCCGCCGGCTGTGTTCAGCCTGATCTACCGAAGCGCCGTGGCGAGGCGGGAGGGAGTTGTCCCAAAGCAAAGCGTGCCTTTGGTCTGGGGAAGGGGCCGAAAGCGGGGGGTACGCCGTACGTCAGAGCGCCTTGTCGGGGGGTTCTTGTGCGGTGAGAGTCAGGAGGTGCCTTTAACAAACCCACCAAGCCGTGGTGCCCGGTGCCGCGGCGGAGCTGCTCGCGTCGTCGGAGGGCTCCCGCTGTAGAGCTTGGCCTCCACCTTCCTCTCTCTGGGTTCACAACAGGATCAAGAAACGGGTGGCTCAAATTCCCGCGCCCATGTCGCGCTGGGAAGGTGGAGCGGTGTCTCTGGGTGTATTTAGGTCTCAGAGGTCGGTCGCTAAAGGCGACAAACACGAACTTCATCCTTCAGAACGTCAACCAGCCACGAGTTGCTTTGCACTGACCCTTCGCTGTAAAATGAACGTTGTCCTTAAGGTACTGCGGTACTGTAAGTGCGCGTCCTGCTCCAGGCTGCCTTCTCCTGACAAGGCGCTGCGCTGAGGAGGAAGGTGCAGGGTGAGATGTGTATAATGACTTGCACCCTGACGTAGCTTGAGTGGTGTGCTGAGCATTTCTGCTACTTGTGAGCAATGAGCTAAGTCAACTGAGAGAAAAAGAGTAAAGGATTTGTTTGAATGCTGATGCTGTTAGAGCTGAGATGAAACCTGTTGTGGTTTTTTTTTTTTTTTTTTTTTCAGTCAACCTTCCTTACTTTTCCATATTAGAAGAAGGTGCGTTCTTGTCAATACTAAGTAGTAGAGGCCATCCTGAATAAGAAGAATACGATGGACAGTAAGACATGTTTGTCTGTATTGTACCATGTACCGTGTTGCTTTGCTTTTCACCATTACATTGATTTTTCTTTGTTATTTTCTTGGGGGATACCAAGACTATCTAGAAGATGACAGTAAAACAAATATTCTGATTGGTAGGTTGCAGAGCAGGATGCGCCTTAGAGCAAACCCAGCTTCATTACTAGCCATGACACTTCTCTTATTTAAGCTGTGTGAATGGTTTTTAAAAGCTGCAGTCGTGACTGTGTTGAAAACAGGGATGCTTTTCTAAAGAAAACAATTTACGGAGACTTGTTGCAGAGCTCTACAGCCTTTGGGCACCAGCCAGCGGTGCTCAGCGCTCGGGTGCAGCACGGGGAACCGGGGGGTGTAGCGGGACCCCGGGGAGACCCGCAGGAGGATTAGTGCAAGGCTTTGGGACTACCGAGCCGGGCCTCGCGGATGGGATGATCTCGGTCACCCCTATTTCATTTTCTGAATCTTTTTCGGTTGTACTGTATCTTTTCTGGGATTGGTGGGTGGAAATGCCCCTACGCTTCAAAACACGTGTGTTCTGTGAATACACAGACTCACGGCTGGCCTCTCTCCTTTTATCTTCTGACAGCCCCTTACAGTTTTTTGCGTATTCCTTTCCATCATGTTTTTGTAAGCCTTTGCTTTTCTGGCTGTTGCTGAGCGTTGGGTTGATGTTTCCATCTGTGGTGACTCCGGGATCCTTTTCCTGAGCATCAGGAGCTGTTCCAGAGTTGTTCTTCCCTTCGGTCATGATGTTGCCTTTTATCTTCGCTGAGTCATATCTGCTGGTTTGGTGCCCCTTCACGCGGTACCGCGAGGTCCTTCTGCAGTTCTTTGCAATCGGGTTTGATCTTTTGTTCTGCAGAGTAACTTCTTACGCCTGCAAGCTGTGTCTCATCACGGATGGCGTGTGTTGGGTGGCGTGGGTGGTGGCACGCTTCCTTGGACACCCCACCAGTACCCTCGCTGCGGGGACACCGAGCTCGTTCTGCCTCCTGTTACATTTAATCAGTTATTAATCTGCAGGATTTGAAGATCTGGAAGACTTAAGTAGTCTCCTTTTTCACTCTGTTCCTGAACCAGACAAGTTTATTTCTCAGTCTTTGGTCGTATTTGATATGTGATAATCTTACGGTTTATTTAAATTATGTCTTTGCTGCTGGCACATGTTTTACCCTTTTAGATGCTCCTTTTAATTTCTTTTTAACTTGCTTTTGTATTTCAGCGTGGTTCTCCTTTTTATGAATTTGAGTCGTGCTGT